GTAAACAATTAAACAGTAATTGTTGGGATGAGCTCTTCGCCAGGGTACCAAGAATTTTTTTTTTTTTTTAATTTAAGTGCAGTACTCGACTGGAGTCGAGATCTCATCAATTAACAGCTAAGGTGGTTAGATGATACCGTACATTCTATACTAACAGTTTATTTTTTCTCACACGTCTTGCTTGTGTAACTCTCTTCCAGCTCCATGCTTTCTAGCCAAGTTTAACCTGCTAAACAATTTAAATTCAATTTCAATCTCTACCTATGGTCCACCTAATTACTCTCTTCTCTTTCTGCGCATTAATTTTTCTTTTTCTAATTTTTCCACACCCTGTAACCCTTTGTGTTTTAGTGGCATTATTGCCTTGTTTTGGGGGATTCCGATTTAAAAAAAAATCCTATGTTAACTGGAAAACTGAAAACTTAATTTTATGATAGTAGCTTTTGTAACATTGTCACGTATACTTCAGGAAGTTGATTCGAAAATTACGACCGTTGTCTCTGTTTTCCAACTGCCTTTGTCTCGCCTGTTGTGTACTATTTAATACACCAAAGTCTCACGGTTTCTGTTTCTTAATAAATTAAATGTAGCTATCGCTCTACCAGAAGAAATCTTTCTAGTCATATTAAATAGCACAAAGTATGGTCCTGGTTGGATACATTTATTTTTGCTCAAACATGTGGATGCCATACATGGCAAACAAACCGGTTCCAAAATATCAAAACTGTCAGTTGCATACAACGGCTACCTGAGATTAATCTCGAAAAAATAACTTTTTTGCGAGTAAATCCTGATGGTTTTGGCAAATATTATCTTTCTTTGAACATTGTGTCTGGCGCTACAGAATCTGTACTGTATCAAATAACAAACCACATCACTTGAGGACTACCAACAGCAGCAGCAATTAAACATTCCCCAACACTTCAAATAAAAGGCGAGGAAGGAAACCGCCAACAGTACTAGAAAGATGTATAACAGCTACTGGATTTGAGAAAACTTTTTACCTTAAGAAAGTGTTTGAATAGAAAGGTTTGATAACTTTCAACCAAAAGCACTACTGGCTACTCGGTCATTCATTGACCGAGCAGCCAGTAGTTCTATCTACTCTGTCTTCCTACAAAAAATAATTTTCTCCTGTTACTATTACAAACTTGACTCCTTATTTTAAAGCTTAAGCACTTCTCAGGCGTAGGCCAGGTTTCTTTACAACATTCGTTTTATTTGATCTGGACGTATACAAAACGGAAAAAAAATAAATTCTTTTTTCACGGACACTGTATCCAGTTTGCTTGTTGGCTGTTTTCCTTTATATCCTATAATATCTTTTGTCAGAATTGATCTAAATTAATTGAAAAATTGGTCAGATAACTGTTGCTTTGTTTTTATACTTCAAATTGATGTAGTCTTTAACATAGTTTAGTGTATAAATGCAGATTAGTCAACAAAAAGTAACAGGAATATCTTTGTATCCTTATTATATGTCTTGGGGGTGTGTACGAAATCACTTCTTCCCCTCCAGCTATGGATAAATTAGTGGTTCGTGCATTAGTAATCATTATTATTTTCCACAAATTGTTTCAATCCAAAAATATATTCTTGCTTTACTAATCTGCAAAAAGGTTGACAAGCGATAAAAAGAATAGTAAAAAAAAATATATAAATTTCCCTTGGGTCAGCTTACTGCAATCAGCTTCGCAAAAGATTAAAGAATCCGAATTTTGTTTTTATTTTTGGCTTTTTCGCGAAAAAAGTGATTTATAGGTGACCGAAATACCAGAGAATACCTTAAGTGAAATATTCAAATTAAACTTTTATAGTTGAAATAAACGCCATTAAATTATCGGCTTAGCAGACAACTTTAAAAAAATAAAACATATTGTAAGTCATATGGTGAAATAAAAACTGTTATTACGAAAGTAAAATATATATTTTATCCAAAGTCACTCTGTTCCAGGGAATCAAATCATAATATTGTTTTGTGTGTGTGTGTTTTTTTTTTTTTTTTTTTTTTTGCATACGCATTCTGTTGTATATGCATTCTGTTTTAGGCCAATGGCAATAGGACGACATGATGTCAAATAATATATTACAATTCAGCACTTTTTCAATAAAATTGGTAGTAACAAAATATCGGTAAAAATTTCAGAAAATAGTTATATAATTATGTCAAGTGTATTTCAGCTTAAAATACTACATTTTATTTTATGCTTTTTAAGAAATGTCCATGTGAAATATATATATATATATATATATATATATGTGTGTGTGTATATATATATATATATATATATATATTCATACACAATCTGTAGACGAATAAATACTGCTTAAAACAATACTGCTTATGAAAAACAACGAAGCGTTTACTCAAATAAGCTTATCCATAAGTTAAGCAACATCCAGCTTCGTCGATTTCTACATGAGTAACCGCTTGAGAATTCCAAATGTCGTATTCTTGGATGTGCAAGTGGTGTAATGGATGACGATTCGGAACTGGAAATCGCTGAACCGAGTTCCATTCCCAGGCAATTTCGTCATACTTCTTTATGCGCAAATACCGTTGGGAAAAGTTTGAATCAAAAAATTATGCGCCCCCATCACCAGCTATGTGTTAATTAGTGGGACCTGTATTAGTAAATCATTATTATTTCAAAAACATTCTTAACATCTAAAAAATTTTTTCTCACTTTAAATAGAAGGCCAAAGGTTCATAAACTGTAAAACAAACTTATCTATCTATCTATCTATCTATATATATATATATATATATATATATATATATATATATATATATATATATCTACTGTCGTAAATTCATCTCAAGTCAATGGAGATAATCGCATTTTACATCCTTACAACACAATCAAGCAAAGACGACGTGTTACTCCCCAGAAGATCTGCTGATAATAATGTTAGCATAAATACTTTATAAATTCTTAGCTAGAACAATTGATGAATGACATGTAATTACACGGAACCCAAAAAGTTAATATTGTATTTTTAAAAGCTAAGACTTCATATCCAGAAGACTTTATTAACAGCATACTGGGATCAAAGTGTAATAACTGTTTTCCTCATCTCTAATAGTAGTAGTAGTAGTAGTAGTAGTAGTAGTATGACCCGTTTCCTTATAAGGAAACATTAAGAATTATTTGACAGAGCAGCTAGTATTTGAATGTTATAACATCTTTCTATTGAAAAATTCTTAAAGAAAATAGGTTTGCAATTCCATTGTTATCGCATTTTCATATATTAACGTTGGCATTATTTCTAACATAAATTTGAAGAAGTATAAAATTTCAAGAGCTTGATTGTCATTGTTTCTCTTCAAGCTATATGTGCTATGCATTTTCGTTGTTGCCGCTGCTGAAAGTCCTCAAGTGATGTTGTTTTGGTAAAGGACAAATATTTTACTGAAACAGACGCCATTGCTCCCATCAATATAGCTTTTGTATAAATAACGACTGTTATATTAGCGTATATAAATATATAGCTCGCATAAAAGTAACCTTATCATGAAGATTTGACCAGTATCTTTTGTTTAATATCAATATTATTGTACATAATAAAACCTTCAAAACTATAAAAACCAACCGACCTTTGAAAGATTTAGTATTTTCTCTTTATTTATTAGCTTTGGGGAAACCTACTGAAATTTGAGTACTTTTTTCAGACAGTAATGATTTTCTTTCCTGTCAAATAATTTTTCAATGATTTATTTGCTTCTGTTTTTTTTTTCTTATATTTACTTGTAAATTCTGTGCGATATTTTTATTGTGCCTATGGCCGCTACGTGAAGGCTATTACAACCAGTAAAATTTTACTAGATCTCACTATTTTATCCATCTTCTGAAGTTTTCTGTCTCTTTTATTTATTTATTCTCGTATGATTCAAAAATTCAGTATCCTCACATCGTATCTTTCTCTTTCTCTGGTCTTTTCGTTTCTCTTGGCTCCTTTCTAACCTCCTCTTTAGTCATTTCCCTCGGCGTCTTCCTTCCTTTCTATCGAGGGCTTTCTTTCTTTCATCGTCTTCTTTCCTTTCGATCGTCGATCTTTATTTTATTCTTTCTTACTTTCTTTCTTTCTGTCTTTTGTTTTCTTTCTACATCTTTCTTCCTTTCAATCAATATCTTTCTTCCTTTCTGTCAACGTCTTCTTTCTTTTTAATCGAGTTTCTTCCTTTCTCTCGGTATCTTTCTTCCTTTCTATCGTCGTCTTTTTTCCTCTCTCTCGGGAACTTTTTTTTTCCTTTCTTTCGACATTATTCTTCTTTTTTTTCGACGACATTGTTCCCTTCTATCATCGTCTTTCTTCCTTTCTATCGTCGTCCGTCTTCCATTCTGTCGACGTCATTTTTTCCTTTCTTTCTAGCGGCGTCTTTCTTTCTTACGTCGTCATTCTTTCTTTCTCTCGACATCTTTCTTCCTTTCTATTGCCGTGTTTCTTCCTTTCTATCGTCGTCTTTCTTTCTGTATATCGTCATGTTTCTTCCTTTCTTTCAGCATCTTTCTCCCTTTCAATCAACGTCTTTCTTTTTTTTCTATCGACGTCTTTCTTTCTATCGTCGTCTTTCTTCCTTTCTCTCGACATCTTACTTCCTTTCTATCGTCGCCTCTCTTTCTTTCTATCGTCGTCTTTTTCTTTTCTCTTGGCATCTTTTTTTCCCTTTCTTTCAGCATCATTCTTCTTTTCTATCGTCTTCCTACTACCTTTCTCTCGTCGTCTTTCTTCCTCTCTCTCGATATCATTATTCCCTTCTCTCGGCATTTTTCTTCCTTTCATTCATCGTCTTTTTTCTTATTGACGTTTTTCTTTATTATCACCGTCTTTCTTCCTTTATTTTTCAACTTTTTTTTTCTTTTCTTTCGGCATAATCTTTCCTTTCTATCGTCGTCCATCTTCCCTTCTATCGCCATAATTATTCCTTTCTTCGGCATCATTCTTCCTTTCTACTATCATCTTTCTTCATTTCTATCGATCTTTGTGCCTTTCAATCAATGTTCCTTTTCCTTTATATCGTCGGCTTTCTTCATTTCTGTCGCCGTCTTTCTTCCTTTACTCGCCATGTTTTTATTTATTTTTTTTCGGCATCATTCTTCCTTTCTATCGTCTTCTTTCTTACTTTCTCTCGACATCATACTTTCTTTCTATTGTCTTTTTTCTTACTTTCGCTCGACATCATTCTTCCTTTCTATCGTCTTCTTTCTTACTCGACATCATTCTTCCTTTCTATCGTCTTCCTTCTTACTTTCTCTCGACATTATTCTTCCTTTCTATCGTCTTCTTTCTTAATTTCTCTCGACATCATTCTTCCTTTCTATCGTCTTCCTTCTTACTTTCTATCGTCTTCCTTCTTAATTTCTCTCGACATCATTCTTCCTTTCTATCGTCTTCCTTCTTACTTTCTATCGTCTTCCTTCTTAATTTCTCTCGACATCATTCTTCCTTTCTATTGTCTTCCTTCTTACTTTCTCTCGACATTATTCTTCCTTTCTATCGTCTTCTTTCTTATTTCTATCGTCTTCTTTCTTACTTTCTCTCGACATCATTCTTCCTTTCTATCGTCTTCCTTCTTACTTTCTATCGTCTTCCTTCTTACTTTCTCTCGACATCATTCTTCCTTTCTATCGTTTTCTTTCTTACTTTCTCTCGACATCATTCATCCTTTTTATCGTCTTCTTTCTTAATTTCTCTCGACATCATTCTTCCTTTCTATCGTCTTCTTTCTTAATTTCTCTCGACATCATTCTTCCTTTCTATCGTCTTCTTTCTTACTTTCTCTCGACATCATTCTTTATTTTTTATCGTCTTCTTTCTTAATTTCTCTCGACATCATTCTTCCTTTCTATCGTCTTCCTTCTTACTTTCTCTCGACATCATTCTTCCTTTCTATCGTCTTCTTTCTTACTTTCTCTCGACATCATTCTTCTTTTCTATCGTTTTCTTTCTTACTTTCTCTCGACATCATTCTTCCTTTTTATCGTCTTCTTTCTTAATTTCTCTCGACATCATTCTTCCTTTCTATCGCCTTCCTTCTTACTTTCTCTCGACATCATTCTTCCTTTCTATCGTCTTCTTTCTTAATTTCTCTCGACATCATTCTTCCTTTCTATCGTCTTCTTTCTTATTTCTATCGTCTTCTTTCTTACTTTCACTCGACATCATTCTTCCTTTCTATCGTCTTCCTTCTTACTTTCTATCGTCTTCCTTCTTACTTTCTCTCGACATCATTCTTCCTTTCTATCGTTTTCTTTCTTACTTTCTCTCGACATCATTCTTCCTTTTTATCGTCTTCTTTCTTAATTTCTCTCGACATCATTCTTCCTTTCTATCGTCTTCTTTCTTAATTTCTCTCGACAAAATTCTTCCTTTCTATCGTCTTCTTTCTTACTTTTTCTCGACATCATTCTTCCTTTTTATCGTCTTCTTTCTTAATTTCTCTCGACATCATTCTTCCTTTCTATCGTCTTCCTTCTTACTTTCTCTCGACATCATTCTTCCTTTTTATCGTCTTCTTTCTTACTTTCTCTCGACATCATTCTTCCTTTCTATCGTCTTCCTTCTTACTTTCTCTCGACATCATTCTTCCTTTCTATCGTCTTCTTTCTTAATTTCTCTCGACATCATTCTTCCTTTCTATCGTCTTCTTTCTTAATTTCTCTCGACATCATTCTTCCTTTCTATCGTCTTCTTTCTTAATTTCTCTCGACATCATTCTTCCTTTCTATCGTCTTCTTTCTTACTTTCTCTCGACATCATTCTTCCTTTTTATCGTCTTCTTTCTTAATTTCTCTCGACATCATTCTTCCTTTCTATCGTCTTCCTTCTTACTTTCTCTCGACATCATTCTTCCTTTCTATCGTCTTCTTTCTTAATTTCTCTCGACATCATTCTTCCTTTCTATCGTCTTCTTTCTTACTTTCTCTCGACATCATTCTTCCTTTCTATCGTCTTCTTTCTTAATTTCTCTCGACATCATTCTTCCTTTCTTTCAGCATAATTCTTCTTTTCAATTGTCGTATTTCTTCATATCTATCGATGTTTATTTTCATGTCTATCGACGTCTTCCCTCCTTTCTATGTCGGATTTCCTCCTTTCTATCAACGTCTTTATTCTTTTCTATCGACTTCGTTTTTTGCCCTATGATTCTTTTCATTTTTTTTTTTTTTTGTGAATGTTAAGATTGTGTTTTGTCGTTAATACATCCCCAAAAACTAAAGTACTGGGAAATTGGAACATCTCGTTACAAAGAAAAATACTGAACCCCTATGTAATATTACTCCTCATATATGGCAGTAAATGCGACACAACTCCTCCACAGATTAAGAGAAGCTATGAGCCAAAAAATGTGATCCTACGGAACGACGTTGAAAACAAAATGGACAGCACATGAAAGCAACAAAAAGTTTTAAGGACAATGGACATAGAAAGTAGAAACAAACGAGAATTAAAAATATGAGGAAGGACTGCTTGGAATACACTAGGAAATATCGAAGGCAAATAAGAAAAAAAGGGTACCAGACGGCTAATGGATCTTAGGTGAATGGATGGTAGAAAGAGTAATGCTAGGTTATAAAGACAAACATTACAACGTGCAGAAAAAGTTTAGAAAACTGTTTTAGAACGGGATGGCACGTAGATTTTTAAGAAAATTGAGCAACAAAAAAGGTGGAATGTTGACATCGCATGTTTCAGGCAAATTTCTGTTTATTCATCAACCACAGCGCCCGCCTGTACTTTACTGAGCGGAATGTAGTTACAGAAAAAGTGTTTTCTCGATGATTAAGAGTTTGATATATGAGAAAAATGCACTTAACGGTTCTGTTGTTATTTTCGTCGATAATGTGAAAAAATTATAATCAACCTTGTTAATATATATAAATATAAACAAAGCCTCAGTCACGATGACTTTAAACTTCGTGCTAGCAGAAACACCGACGTTTCACCCAAGAGTTCCGTCTACACAATTTCACTTACAAGGCTTTGATCATCCGTGGTATGGTTTTCAGGTACTTTCTAAAGGTCCACCATGCTGGGATTGCCTCCCACAGGCCGACAGCATCAAGAAGTTACGTACCTGACACATCGACTATAGTAAGATTCGAACCCAGGTCCCAAGATCAGAAAGTGAACATTCTAATCGCGTGCCCACATTTTGGAATATATCTATTATAAATAAAGTGTTACCCCCAACCCCTACGCAACACATGGTTTGGGATCCTCCTAGTCTCCTTTGCTAAAGACAAGCTACATATGAAAACGTGTCCATTGAGATGTGGGTAGAGATGGTCGCATGTTCCAATACTCCTCTACGTTAAAGTCCCACAGAAGGTCATGCCAGCTCCCACATAAGGTAAATTCTCTTTATATTTTTTTTAATTTTATTTTATATCCTAAGTGATTACACGTAATAAACCTTTTTCAGGATAAACATTTGTAATGTTCTGTTTAGGCATAATGGCATGTAAATGTATAAATATTGTCACTAAATAGTTTATTGATAGAGGCGTTCGCATTTAAAATATGAGTTGAAATACGCACTTAACTGTTCCAATGTCATTTTCTTCGATAATGTGAAAGAATTTATAATCAAGTTTGCTAATAAATATGGAAATTTCCTTCGAAATAAACCTTCTCAAGCGGTTTCTTTTAAAAGGTTATTTAGAGTGTACAAAGACCTTTCCGAAAGGTTGTCTCATAAGATGATGTAACTAAGCCATTACTCTTATCTCCGCAACACATGCGAACATGAAATTCGCAAGAGTAGAGATCTCATTCTAGATAGTGCATCTCCTTATAATTTTATTGACTTCCTTTCTAATAACATAAATTTATAGCAATTTCGCTTATAACTTTCTGGCTTTTCATTTTTGCAATTATATCCTCAATTTTTTTTTTTTTTTTTTTTTTTTAGTAATGATAATAATAGCAGTTTCCTTATATGGAAACATTCGGCATTCATTGACAGACCAGCTTGTTCTACTTTTGGTTGAAATTTATAAAATCTCTATTTTTTTTCGTAGAAAATACGTTTCACAAGTACAGTAGCTATTAGCGCTTTTTCCAGTACGGATGGAAAATTTGATAAATTTAGACCGAAAGTAGTACTGGATACTCAGTCAACGAATGCCTAATGTTTAATTTTAGGGAAGCAGTTATTATTAACATTGTCAAAAAAAGCTTGATTTTAAATTTAAAAAAAAAAAAAAAAGAACTATTACTGCCATATCTTGTTTGGAAATGCTCACTACTGGCATTCCAACCTTGAATGTTCAAAATACTTTATGCAATTTCGGGGAGAAAGACCTTTCAATTCTGCAAACACGGTACTGCATTCCTATTGCTATTTTATCGCTTGTTATTTCCATGGCAACAATTTCAAAGTTCTAATGAAAATATGATGGCCATTATTATTAGCGAAAATAACTCTTAATTCATTACGGTTCATCTTGTCCGCGTTCGTCCCCCACCCATTCAAACAAGCTCGTAAGTAATTTACGTGCAGTCACACATTGCTTCTCTTGCCTTCACTATTTAATGTGAGCCTTAAATTTGCTATTTCCTCTTTTCTCATTATGTATACCAGATATTTTATATCTCTTTACTATTGTAAAGTAGAAATGTCCACGTTCTGCATATATTTTGTCCGTGATAGTCTCAGACGTTAGAAAGACATTTCCGTTGTGTCGTGTTTCTTACTCTCTGAAGTGATTTTTCAGCATTCACAGACATACAGAAGATTATATATTACAATGCTGCTCTTATCTGTTTCTTAGAGCAGGCAGGAGGGGATCGTAAAAGAGTTAAAAGTTAGAGCAACAAAAAGAGAAAACACTCATGAAACATGGTCGCTCACCTCCAGTAGAGATACGGCGTATAAAAGATATTTAGTGCACAACAAGATTTAATATGTCAGATATTTAGCGAAGATAGAGGAAAGAACGACATTTACTTAGATTATCTTTGTCTTGGACAAGAACATATCTGTTAATCTTCCGCTACTTTAGTCACAAACAAACGCTAATGTATGGCATACAGTGACAATTGTACTGGGGATACAGACAAGTTTATTTCCAGTTTATTAGCTATAATTCTAAGGTTGTAAGTTATGTTTCATATATTTTGTATTCAAGCTTTGAAATTGTCCCTAAGTCTCTGTGTTCGCAATACTGTAGCATAGTTTCCATGTTACCTGTGCACGATTAAATATTTTGATTGCTTCTATTTTAAAAGTTGTTCTTTTTCAGGCTCTTCTTATTTCCCTTTTATTCAATTATATAAATTCTATAATTTATTTTTTTTTTATCCAGATATTTTTATCTGTTTTTCAACGATAGCGGAAATTTTCGCTAAGGAAGTAGAAAAGAATTTTTTTTTCTGCATAGTTTACTGCATCCAGGTTTTTATTTTATTTTTCTTTTCTATTATTGATGATTTATTCAATTTACCACTGTTACAAAGCAACAGGAACTTGTAGTGAGATAGCAAAATTTAGATTGTGTTTCTTTATGATCCTATGTTTATTTCCTTTTCCCTTAGAATTTTCTTTATCATCCTACCAATATTATATTCTGTATTTTTCCAGGCTTCGGCACACATGAAACTAGGTCGAAAACTCGACTAACATGTTCAGAAAATTCTGTCTAAGAAAAAAAATAAAACCAATATGGCGTATATACAGGTGATT